CATATATACACTACCAAACATAAAATGGATGGCTTGTGGGAAGCAGCCACATAGCACAGGGAGATCAGCTAGGTGTTCTGTGACCACCTAGAGGGGTGGGATAGGGAGGCTGGGAGGGAGGCTCAAGAAGGGGAGGATATGGGGATATATGTATATGTATAGCTGATTCACTTTGTTATGCGGCATTGTAAAGCAGTTATACTCCAATAAAGATTAAAAAAAACAACAACCTTGTGCTTCCCTTATGTTCAACCGAATGCCAGTAGCCAACAAAACACTGTGCCCAGCAGCAGGGTACTAACAACCTATCTAAATGAAATCAGGTTAATATATACATCACATACAGACTTGAGTAAGAAAAAAATACAGAAAGTGGTCGAAAGGATACTCATGGAAGGAAGAAACTTAGACCCAGCTATGACCATACAAAGATATGGGAGCTGATGGGATGCACATGTTATTCGTGTGTGTGTGTGTGTGTGTGTGTGTGTGTTTGTGTATTTACTTTTCCCCTACACTGCCTACCTATGGACTGAATGTTTGTGTTCCCCCCATTCATATGTGAAATCTGATTCCTCAATGTAACCATATTTGGAGGTGGGGCCTTTGGGAGATAATTAGGTCAGGAGTTGTTGGGAGTACGTGAAGAACGAAAGAGAAAGGAAATGCGAAATGTAAGAAGCTAGAAGCCAGTCTGAAGCACACTGTTCCAATCACCAGTTAGCTTCTCCTCAATGATTTGTTTTTCATAGATGTCTGGTCAACATGGGCATTCATTCCTGGCAGGAATGTAATGCAGCATGTACAGTTACAGACACATCATACATTATTTTTTGATGGGAACTGTGAGAAATAAAATAATAGAATGATCAGAATTCCTGTGATTCCAGATCACAAACTGGAAGCTGTAGTAAAAACAGTGAGTATGACTGTGTATTAAGCCACAATTGTATTCCTCTAAACCAGGAATAATAAAAAACAAATTCCAGTCGACTAAGCTGGGACTGAGATATTTTTCTCTTCTTTCTGTAGAAAATATTACAAAGTCATTTTAATATGAAAAGGTCATCAAAGAGTATGCAGTCAAAAATGTAGGAAGAAAGCAAAGTGGTATGTCAGGCAGTCAATTATTAAAAACTATTATGTTCTGTTGCTCGATTTTGTGATGTTTGTAATATTGAACATCTTTAAAAGTTATCTGGTGGGGCTTCCCTGGTGGCGCAGTGGTTGAGAGTCCGCCTGCTGATGCAGGGGACACGGGTTTGTGCCCCGGTCCGAGAGGATCCCACATGATGCAGAGCAGCTGGGCCGCTGGGCCTGCGCGTCCGGAGCCTGTGCTCCGCAGCGGGAGGGGCAGCAACAGTGAGAGGCCCGCGTACCGCCAAAAAAAAAAAAAAAGAAAAGTTATCTGGGGGATTCCTTTTCTCTTTCTAAATACATCCTCAATTTTTGCTTAATTCCTCCCATTGTAGAAATTCCCTGCTTCACTAAGCCCCATTTGCTCTGCTCCCTAAGTCCATGCCTCATCAATAGAACACAAATGATTCTGCTGCCTCCTGGCTCCTGTTCAAAGTGACGTCATGAGCTTTGCCTCCTGATTGTGAGCGGCAATTGTAGAATTGCTCTAATAATAGGTAAACATTATGAACATGTATTTCTTTTTCTTCAACAGAGCTAAACAAAAGCTCACTCTCTGAATTTCCAGATGCACTTAAAATGAAATAATAATGTTGGTCCAGTCTTGCCCTACTTTAAATTAATTACTCCAGGAAGAGACATTAAACCTTTCAGGCACCAGTGAGCATAAATGCTTTAGTATCCCAGACCATACACCCTCTTTTGATTGTTTGAGACACAAGGAAAGGTAAGCTCAGTAAATTAGGCTATTTTATGATCCATTTAAATAATCTGAAAAGGAAATTAATACTTTTATTACTTTCTGTAAGTGAAAAACTTCCTTAAAAATCTGTAAGAGTTCTTTATGTTATAGTGGTTGGGACTCCCAGAGCCAAAACATGGCTCCAGAGAAATAATGGAAGGTCGGGGAAAGGATGCATGGTCACACAAGTCAAAATGGAATAAACAGGAAGGTCTGGAAACTAACTTGGGGCTGAAGAAAATCATCTCTACCAAAGTCAAGAAAATTCACTTGATTAGATATTAGGCTGTCATTTAAAAATAAAATATTTCTTAGTCTTTTTGAATAATATGAATTTTTGCTGGGGGTGTTGAAAGGATGGAGAAGGAATCTGGGGAAAAACATGGTGCTTGTGACCTCTACCTCACTTATTATGTGAGAAACATTCTGTTAATTACTTTGCAAACACTGTGCTCAAACTTTAAATGCTCACAACAAATGAGTAGAGAAAGTTAAAATATTTTAATTGGATAGAAAAGGAAACAAGGAGCCTCCCTGGTGGCGCAGTGGTTAAGAATCCGCCTGCCAATGCAGGGCACATGGGTTAGAGCCCTGGTCCGGGAAGATCCCCCATGCCGTGGAGCAACTAAGCCCATGTGCCACAACTACTGAGCCTGCGCTCTAAAGCCCTCTAGCCACAACTACTGAAGCCCGCACTCCTAGAGCCCGTGCTCTGCAACGAGAGAAGCCACCACAAAGAGTAGCCCTCGCTCACTGCAACTAGAGAAAAGCCCGTGCACAACAACAAAGACCCAATGCAGCCAAAAATAAATTAATTAATTAAAAAAACAAAAAAAAAGAAAGAGAAATGAGGGTTATTTCTCTTATCTTTTACCTGTTGCTGCCTCCATCCGCTCCAGCCATGCTGGCTTCCATTCTGTTTCTGACACACAAAGCACACTCCAGTCTCAGAGGCTTTGAATAGGCTGCTCTCTCTGCCCAGGACACTGGCCCCTAGATTTCCATAGGTCTCACTCCTTTACTCCATTGAAAGATCTCTGTTCAAATATCACCCCTATCTGAGAGCCCCTACCCCATAACTCTTTGTCCCATTACCCTGTTTTATTTTTCTTCTTAACATGTCACAGATATTTTGTTCCCACTAAATGTCCTCAAGAGCTAATGGATGTTTGGAGATGGGAATTAATCATTGGATAGCTGAAAAGGAGCACAGTATTGAGCAATTAGCAAACTCTACAAATGTGTCATACAAATGTTGGCTTCCAATCTGATGCTTTGTACTAGTTTATGTGAGAGATTTTCAAACACAGCCCACAACTAGCTTTTAACTGGCGATACCTCGTCAAGTTCTTCTATAAGCTAGACATTATTCCAGTGATTTATTTCCTTATATAATACCATTTATATCAGTCAGGGTCCCAATAAGTATCAGTTGGTATAATCAAATTAAGAAAACTCTGGGGAATTCCCTGGTGGTCCAGTGGTTAGGACTCCGCGCTTTCACTGCCAGGGCCCAGATTCAATTCCTGGCCAGGGAACTAAAATCCCACAAGCCACACCACGTGGCTGAAAGAAGAAAAATCTGGGAATTTTTAAGGGACTATTCAAATGATTTAACAGTTTTGTGGGGCTGCTGTACAACAAACTAGGTAGCTAAAACAGAAGAAATTTATTATCTCATCGTTCTGGAGGCCAGAATCCCAAGATCAAGCCCTGTTGACAGGGTTGGTTCCTTCTGAGGCCCATGAGGAAGACTTTATTCCATGCCTAGCTCCTAGCTTCTGTGGTTTGCTGGCACTCTTTGGCATCCCTTGGCTTGTAGATGCATCACTCTGATCTCTACCTTCATTTCACATGACATTCTCCCTGTGTGCATGTCTCTGTGTCTTTTTCTAAGAACACAGTCATATTGAACTAGGGCCCATGTTAATGACCTCATGTTAACTTGACCATTTGCAAAAAATCTATTTCCAGATAAGGTCACATTCATAGGCACTGGAAGTTAGGACTTCAACATCTTCTTAGGGGACATGATTCAACCCATAACACATGGTATAGATGGAATATAGGGAACTGCACTGTGTACTGCAGTAACCTATAGTTAGGACAGCAGAGCTGTTACTACCTCTAGGCCTCAAAGGATGAGGAGAGGGTTTGGATACTAGCAGGCTGCCACAGAAAAGCAGTGACCTTTGGTTGAGCAACATAGCCAGCTTCAGATGACCCAAGAGGGAGAGAGCTCTGACCTCATTTTCCTCCCTTTTTCCAAGCTTCTGCCAGGGCTTCCCACTGGCCCAACCCAACCAGAAGTCAGACAGCAAAGGATCTTTTTGCTGTAACATCTTAGAAACATTTCTAACTTTAATGTAACCTTATTTTTTTCAGTTTTTGGTCTTTTGCATTTTCAAGAGGAATTTAGCTTTTTTTTCTTCCAGTTTTAATGAGATATAATTGACATACAGTACTGTATAAGTTTAAGGTATGCAGCATAATAATTTGACTTACATACATTATGAAGGGATTATCATAATAAGTTAGTGACCATCCATCATCTCATATAGATACAAAATTAAAGAAATTTTTTAAATTACATAATGATTAGGGAATCAATCCAAGAAGATATAACAATGTAAATATATATGCACCCAACATAGGAACTCTAAATACATAAAGCAAATACTAACAGACATAAAGGGAGAAATTGACAGTAACACAATAATGCAGGGGACTTTATAACACCCCATGTACATGAACAGATAGATCATCCAGAGAGAACAATAAGGAAACACTGGCCTTAAATGACACCCTAGACCAAAAAACAAACAAACAAACAAATAAATAAATAAATAAATATATATATATAAAACATTCCATTGAAAGGCAACAGAATACATTTTTATCAAGTGCACATGGAACATTCTCCAGGATAGATCACATGCTAGTCCACAAAATGAGTTTTAGTAAATTTAAGAAAATTGAAATCATATCAAGCATCTTTCTTGATCACATTAGCAGACTAAAAATCAACTACAAGAAAAAAAATGCAAACATGTGGAGGCTAACCAATATGCTACTAAAAAACCAATGGATCACTGAAGAAATCAAAGAAATAAAAAAATACCTGGAGAGGGCTTCCCTGGTGGTGCAGTGGTTGGGAGTCCGCCTGCCGATGCAGGGGACGCGGCTTCATGCCCCGGTCCAGGAGGATCCCACATGCCATGGAGCGGCTGGGCCCGTGGGCCATGGCCGCTGGGCCTGCGCATCTGGAGCCTGTGCTCTGCAACAGGAGAGGCCACAACAGTGAGAGGTCCACGTGCCGCAAAAAAAAAAACAAAAAAAAACCTGGAGACAAATGAAAATGAAAACACAATAGTCCAAAAATCTATGGGATGCAGCAAAAGCGGTTCTAAGAGGGAAACTTATAGCAATACAAGCCTACCTCAAAAAACAAGGAAAAAATCTCAAACAACCTAACTTTACATCTAAAGGAATTAGAAAAAGAACAACAAACAAAACCCAAAGTTAATAGAGTGAAAGAAATCATAAAGATCAGAGCAGAAATAAATGAAATAGAGACCAAAAAACAATAGAAAAGTTTAATGAAACTAAAAGCTGGTTCTTTGAAAAGATAAACAAAACTGATAAACCTTTAGCCACACTCATCCAGGAAAAAAGAGAGGACCCAAAATCAATAAAATCAGAAGTGGTTTCCATTAGCTTTGACAATGTCTATTTTATTTTTCTTTTATTGGTAGAAAGAAAATGCAGGCCTTAAGAGGAATAGCTAGATGAATAAAAAGGAGGTTTTTCTCCTCACTTGCACTAGCTTGATCATCTTATCTGCCAACAGGATCCTGTCTGTAGTTCTGGCTCCACCATTTACTAGATGGTTGGAAATGACATGCTTGCCAAGCATGTTTGCTCTTGTCTGAAATGAGGAGGACTGGAGGTGAAACCAGGAAGTTGATAATATTGTATGTGATGTGACTTCTCCCATAATCTCTCAGATCTTCAGTAAAACCACTAAACTAATGACATATTTTGAGAAAGTGGACTCTGTGTTTGGATGATGCAGGATAAATCCAAAGCAAGGCAGAGAAAACTGAGAAAGAAAGCCATTAAGGATTCACAGAAATTGTAGAGATGGCTCTGAACTTGCACAGGTACCAAAGTGGAATTTTAAACCAAGCTGATCTAAGTCTCCAAGGGATAGTAGGACCTCAGCTGACAGCTGAGATACACTTAAGATTCTCTAAGGATTTTTGTACTTCAAAATTTTCCATTCCATTTTTCATAATCTTTATAGTCAAGAACTTCATGTCTATATTTAAATTCCTATTGCTGCAATTTCAGCTCAGCCTAGTAGTTGTAGTAATGACCATAATAGCTGCCAGGTATGAGCAATAGAGTCAGACTGTCTGGGTCTGAATCTCAGCTATACTGCTTATAAGCTCAGGAAAGTTACTTAGACTCTTTAAACTACAGCTTCTTCTTCCACAAAATGGGATTACAATGTCTACATCCACCATAAGGTTGTTGTGAATATCAAATGTGTTAGCATATATAAAAACTTAACAGAGTATCTAGTACAGAGTAAGTGATTGATAATGTTTGTTGTGATATCATTACCATATGATATGTCAAGCATTCTGCTGTTTTACGCAAATTATCACATTTAATTCTCACAGTTACGCTCAGAATTAGCTGTTATAATCTCCATTTTACAGATAAGGAAATCAAGGTGCAGAAAACTGAAATTTAAATAAATGGTAATTTTGTATGTGTCCCTGCTGTATTTATTATGGGATCAATGTGATCATGGAGAAATAAATGTTTAATAAACAAAATAAATATTAATATTTTATAAAATATAAATATTTTAATTACAAAATAAATAAATGAATGAATAAATTTTTTTCCTCTGAACTTTCACAGAACCCAGAGAAAAGAGAGAAATAATTTTGTCTTAATTATGTCATTTTTTAATGTTCACTACACTCTCAAACTAAGGGTTTAAGTGCCATTTCATTAATGTTCCTTTTTCTTTCAGAGAAGCAATAAAAATATTTATAAGAAAGAGATATAAACCATATTGCTTTCCAAACTCCAACACCTTGACTTTTTCTTTTCTTGGTTCTTCTACAAGCAGCCTTTGGAATATAATGTATACCAATTGAAACTAAGTTTCAAAATAAATTAAAAATATAATTTTGCTATTTCTGAATCAAATAGTCTATAAAAACTCTAATAAATAGCATCTACCTTTCCTTTCTCACTAATATTATAAATTTATTCTCAAAAAAGTAATATAATATTCTTGGCATAATTGTCCTGCAAAAGTCCATACCCTTTCTGGCTAATGATTTCTTTACTCTTTGGATATTTCCAATTTTTTTCTCAAAATGCATTTTAACATTCCTTAAAACTAACATTAAATTATCTAAATGGTACTGCCCCTGACCATATTCTTTCTCTGTTTTGGAGATGGGTCTATAATTTGAAGTTAGTATTAAATCCTATCGTCATAGTTTTACTTAAGCCAGTCCTTGCAGATACAGAATTTTCTGCTGAGAGTCATTTGAACATAATCGTTGTAAAATGTTCACATTTCCCATTTCTTGCCTACTACTGATTCTTATCTTCTGCTACTTTTGCAAGTAATTCTTTACTATTAAGTAGTTCAAACTCTTCCTTCCACTTGATTCAAGGATGTAGTGAGAAGTAAGCCTGTGGTGGCATGTATAATGATCTTCTGGGCCTCGAAGTACACTCTGCCAGCTTCTAGGCCATTCTGCCCCTTTCCACTAACTAGTCCATCCCACGATAATAAGAAGTAAAGTAGACAATGTAGTCTAGAGGGCGTGAGATCTAAAAGGTCAGAGGTATAGACTTGACACTTCTATTGCTGTGTAGCATTTAGTGAAAGACCAATTTCTTCAAAATTCAGTTTATTCAACCTTGAATGACAGTGCTGTCTTCCTATTTTCCTGAGATCCTAGACAGGTGAAGAGCTTTAACTTCCTTAGATGAAAGTTGCAAGTTGAAGTCACGATAGAGCAACTCTTCTCCTCTCCAGAGACTGATATTCCCCAGCTGAAGGGCCTTTTGCTCGGCCTCTCTTCGCCCACCTGCAGCATTCAACAGTGGTCTCCACGTGCTGTTCCTCAGATGCTCCCCTGCCTTAATTTCTGTGATAGTGTGCTCTAAGTTTTCTACCTATCTGTTGGATTTCTCCTCCTCCTTCACTTTCCTCACCATGAGTACTATCTAATTTTTACACCTTTGTTCCCACACTCAACAAACAGGGACAGAGGTGAAGATACAGAGATGGGTGGCACCATCCTTGTCCTCAGGTGGCTTTTAGGCTGGTAGAAAGACATGAGCATGAACTAATGTACGATCAGTGACTCTGAGTTCTCTCAAGTATGGAATTATTTAGCCTTCTTTTTTTTTAACATCTTTATTGGGGTATAATTGCTTTACAATGGGTTAGTTTCTGCTTTATAACAAAGTGAATCAGTTATACATATACATATGTTCCCATATCTCTTCCCTTTTGCATCTCCCTCCCTCCCACCCTCCCTATCCCACCCCACTAGGTGGTCACAAAGCACTGAGCTGATCTCCCTGTGCCATGCGGCTGCTTCCCACTAGCTATCTATTTTACATTTGGTAGCGTATATATGTCCATGCCACTCTCTCACTTTGTCACAGCTTACCCTTCCCCCTCCCCATATCCTCAAGTCCATTCTCTAGTAGGTCTGTGTCTTTATTCCTGTCTTACCCCTAGGTTCTTCATGACATTTTTTCCCTTAAATTCCATATATATGTGTTAGCATACAGTATTTGTCTTTCTCTTTCTGACCGACTTCACTCTGTATGACAGACTCTAGGTCCATCCACCTCATTACAAATAGCTCAATTTCATTTCTTTTTATGGCTGAGTAATATTCCATTGTATATATGTGCCACATCTTCTTTATCCATTCATCCAATGATGGACACTTAGGTTGCTTCCATCTCCTGGCTATTGTAAATAGAGCTGCAATGAACATTTTGGTACATGACTCTTTTTGAATTATGGTTTTCTCAGGGTATCTCACTACTACCTAGGGGGAAAAAAAACTACAGTGGCTACTGTGTATCACTGGTTAAAACATCTCACAGCAATATTTATCTCCCCTGTCTGACTCTTGGTGAGTTGGATTCACAGAAACAGAGAGTTTCAGAGGCAGCCCTCTGTTTTCAGATAAGTGAACTGAACCTAGAGAGAGAACAACTTGCTGACAGTCACACAGCTTGTAAGTGGCAAGACAGGACCAGAGCCAGAATTCCCAGCTCTTACTGCTCCTATTGTTAGACCCTGTAGCTGCTCTTTGTGGGCTGAATTTTCTGTGTTACTCCATAAGTAACTCTATACTCAATGGAGTAATGATTTGGTATTTCCCTCCTGTTCCACAGAGGGTGATGCATGCCCTACAGATCTGAAGAGGGACAAAAATCCACACCTCTCTTGACAGTTTATGGAAGATTTACTCTGAAAGCCAGTGACCTCTGGCCCCAAGGCTGGAGAAGCGGTTCTGAGTCCATTAAAATTCATGCTCAAAGTCTGATGGTTCATATGGGAGCTGCTGTAACAGAAATCATTCCTGAGGTCACATGGTGTGTTAACCTCCTTGCCCCTCATCACAGTGATGACGGCTCAGATAAACATGCATGGATGTAATGAAACCTCAGCTAGAGAGGAAAGTCTATCTGGGAAAAGGATGAATGACCTTCCCCCTCAATGCTGCCTGATGTGGGAGACAGTAAAGAAGAGCAAATATTGACAGAAACCTGATAATATTTGTCTTTCTGGTGGTCAAGACAACATCCAGACATTCTGTGGCCAAGTTGAGAACTGCAAGAAATAAAAAAGGAAGAGAAGGGAAGGGGAAGGGAAAGGAAGAGAGGGAGAGAAAGAGAGAAAGAAAAAGGAAGGAAGGAAAGGAGGGAGGGAGGGAGAGAGAAAAAACGAAAGAGAGAGAGAGGGAGGGAGGAAAGAAAAGAAAGAGGGAAAAGAAAAGACAGAGGAAAGAAAGGAAAAAAAAATGGCAAGAAGGAAAACTGTTTCACCAAACTGACGCCTGTCAGATAAAAGAGATTGGGGCCATAAATTCCTCCC